GTGGAATGTATTCTATAAAACCACAAGGACTCTCTGTTCGAGTATTTTGTGACATGACGTCAAAGAATGGTGTTGGTGTGACAGAGATTGGACATGACAGTGAATCAAGAACACTTGTGAGTGGATATGATCCTCCAGGTTCTTACATGAGAAAGATTAATATGAATTTCCATGGAGCAGATTGTTGCCATTATGAACCAGTCCAAGAATTGTGAGCAGTTTATAAAATATGAATGTTACCAAACTATGTTTCTAAACTCTGGTTATGGTTGGTGGGTATCACGTCAAGGTTCAAAGATGAATTACTGGGGTGGAGCGGCAGTCAACAGTGGAAAATGTGCCTGTGGAATGAACAACAGCTGTGCAGGTGGAGACAAATGCAATTGTGACATGAATGACAACGCATGGCGTGAAGACAGTGGATATCTGACAGACAAGAACACGCTGCCTGTTACTGAGCTGAGATTTGGAGATGCTGACGGTGTTTCAATGCCTAACGGAGAAAGAGAGTCAGGTTTTCATACACTGGGAAAATTACGTTGCTGGGGTTAAGAGATGGATTCAGATGATCTTGTCACCTGAATAACCTAACTTTGATAATCAATATTCGTTAAACTACTGAGACGCATGGTAACCATGCAAGGCTATTCATTTGTCCTAGAATCGCATGTTTTAGTTTTACAATATTATCAAATATTATAGATTTAAGTATTCAAAATTTTTAAAATCGGTTTATCACAGAGTCGAGACTTGGAACACATCCGAGTGATCCGACGACGGATTAATTCACAGTCTTCTACATGTAGATAGATGGAAATATTTTCATTTCATACAATATACAGTGCATGGGTCGCAGCACTCCAGCACTCTTCTTCAATGTACCTGGATTGTTTTAATTATTGTATGTTGTTGACCTGCAGACTGCAGTCTTATTCGCCTGTCATGAAAATCAAATTCATCACAGTATGAATTCCACACCATTAAAGTTCACAATTTTGCCGCCATTGCACAATAAAATTAATCATGGATAACTGTCAGTAATGGAAAGTACCGTTTCTCGAAAAGTCCATATAAAAAATTCCCGCGCGCAATTGTAGAGCATGCATGCATCTGTCCGAGAGCAGACTATACTTTTCACATGCTACCATTTTTCCCTACAGTACCGTGCATGAGTATACTATAATTTCATGCTATAAGTTACAACGTGTTGAGATATGCTCTAAATATTCTAAATAAGGTTAATTGACATAACTGAACCGCAATGTTATGTATATATGTATATAAGAATGTAATCTCTGGCTACCAGAAATACCAACGTAAAAATAGTTGTTGCATGTACCAAAATTGTAAATCTTGTATGGTAATGAAATATAATATGTCAAAATAGTTAACATAGATATCATTCTGTATATATATGAGTGATTTGTATGATTAAAATATATTCCTTTTAAAACTCCTAAGTTGTATGTTGTGCTTCGTATTCAAGAAAGAGCGATGGCAACGGTACAAACCCTAACACAACTGACGAGTAGACTGAGTGCATAATAGATAAAATGAATTCACCGGGTGTATCTATGGCAAGGGGCTTACATGCACCCAGTTCAGGGGAACTGTACATCTCAGCCCCTGTTCATAATTCGTGAAGTTTATATAATTTCATTGTCTGAATCTATTTTCTATAGCTAATTGATTATGATTACGTGAACAAGTTTAATGATTTCTCCACCTTTCAACCGCCATTCCTATTTGCACCTGTTAAAATTTAAAAGCGGCAGCCATTGTAGCATTGTTTGACCATTTTCCATAGCGAACTTGCGAGTTAGTTTTTGCGTATATATGAACCGAAAAGTAACTAAAGCCAATGCAGTACGTACAGCTCTATCAAAAACACACTATACATTCCATTTGTGAAAAGTGAATTTGATCCGAAAAAGTTGGATCCTGTGAACGGGCCTTTATGAGTCTTTCTACAGGACTACATTAATGAAGTCTTCTTCGGACAGGTCTATTTCATTTCATACAAGATATTGTATGCGAAGTTTCCTATATATCACCCTCTTAATAAATGTCCCTAAATTGTTTCAATGTTGTAATAGTTATGAATACCCTTTGTTGAAAAGTGTATCAAATTCTCTCGCGCAATTCGAGAGCATGCAAGTCACCCGTGACCGTGAGCAGACTATATTTTTCACATTGATGCATGCTATCATTTTTCTCTACGTATAACCGTGAGTATATATATATATATATATATATATATATATATATATATATATATATATATATATATATATATATATATATATATCAGTACAACGGGTAGACTAAGTGCATAAAAGACGAAATGAATTTCACCATGCTGGGGTTGTACCGGCCTGAAAATATCTGCATGCCTCCCTATATTAAAGTTCACATAAATGTGGAAAGGAAATCAGTTCATAATCACTATGTCATTGTATAAATCTGATTACTATAAGTATAAGAGTATGATTTCCGAACAGCTGTATAATTTCTTCACCTTTTAAACGCCATTCCTATTTGCACCTCTGCATGGCATGGCTTGACTTTATTCCTATATATTTGAATATTTCCCCTTGCAGGTATATATCATAATACACCAGTAAACGCCATTTATTGAAATTACGACAATACTACACTCAAAGAACACCTTGTAACATGTTTATCTAACAATTCATTTCATCTGAAAGGGCACTGACCATTTGTTAATGTCTGAATTCAAAGTAGTATAGTCAATGTCGGAAATGGACTTTTCAAGTCTTTTCTGTCAACAGGACTATATCAAAGTCTTCTTCGGACAGGTCTAGCTTCCTATATATCACCCTCTTATTAAACACGCCTCTAAGTTGTTTCAATGATTGTATGTATAGCTAATTTTTGCACGTTTTCTTATTTTTCTGTCGCGTTAATAATATATGCATGCAAAAAATTTTCATCATCTTTTTCATTGCCAACTAAAATTATTGATAGATAAATAGAAGTCTGAAAAATATTTTAGTAATCATCGTGAAATATAGTCAAGTTAAATGCATGCTTGACACATTCAAGAGTTGAATAGATGTGTTGGACGATTAAATATTTCGATTTTAACTTGACTTTGCACAGGCCATGGCTATATCAGCCATATAAGACGTGAGCGAATGGTATGATTCCTTCATAATAATATATAGCCAGAACATTATAATGATAAAATGTGCAAACTTATATAAAATCCTCATCACAAATTCTCACTGTATTACGTACCGGCTGTTTTTAAATAACCTGATATACCCTTAGTAGCTTAGCCAATCAGATTGCGTAACAGCTCATATAACATGGCGAGTAGCTATATAAGATAAGTGTGTAAATATACACCGCTGTAGATCTTTATAATGCATAATATATTCTCATAATCCATCCTTTGCTCGGGTGCATGATTGGGAAAGATATTTCAACCCGACTAAGCGACGAAGGACTTTCGTATGAAATATTGCGCGGAATAGCAATTATCTCGGGTCTATAGCTAAATGATAAATATCATATTCATACTATCTTTAGACTTTACTCATTTCTTTTTGAATATGGTTCCTAAATAGAATTGTCAATATCATCTTAAAAAATGAAGAGGAATATTAGAAATAAATGAAAGTCTGTTTTGCATCACATCTTAAAACAAGTGTTAAAGACTTAAATAATGTTTAGTTGAAGAATGGCCATCTTACTGAGCATTTGTGCGTTAGTTTTCACCTCAAGAATACTCCAGCCGGGAGAATGCTCAGTCGCCCAGGCCTTATTTCGCAAAATTGATGGCAAATATTTAGCGAATCATGTCATCGAAACGAAACACGCTGAAACTGAATTGGAATGTAGTATGCATTGCGTTGCCCATGGATCATGTGTGTCGGTTAATTTCAAAACCTCTGGAATCGGTAAAGGTCGATGTGAGCTCAACAGCAACACCCTTCAAAACACGTCTGACGATGATGGCAGCATGAACGATCCTGAGTTCAAACATCTTCATATAATCAAAAAGGTAAGACGACAACAAAAATTTTTATAACGGAATATAAACCTAGCGAAACATTTTACTAAAGTTTTCAGCAATGCTCCTTCTGTTCAAAGATTAATTTGTGTCTAGTTATAGTTAGCAACATTCCAATAATGCAAGCAATTAATAATATTCTTGAATGAATGCATGGTAAAGTTTAATTTCAAAACGGCTTAATACGACTTCTGGTCTTCTTCTTAACATAGATAACTGAGAAACCAATTGCAACAAATGCCACACAGACATCAGGAAATCTCTCAACAGGTATGATATGCGAATTGCATTTGAAGAAAACCCGTTGTCCAACGATAAATACACGAACGTCTTTCTAAACCTGAAAGAAACAGGTCTTTTATACTCTACAATGCCTTTTCTATACCTGTACATCGTCTTCGACTTCATTTTTCCTGCCAAAATTAAAATTCACTCAGAAACTGGAATGCGGATTTATTTTCGGAACATCCAGAGCTTATTTTAGAGATTAAAATGAAGTATAGTCACGCTATATAGCGATTAGTAGCTATAATGCTATAATGTAAGTTGAAAAGCGTAATTTAAGGTGCGTTGAGTCCATATAAAGCCCCTTATATATACACTAAATGACGTTCAAATACTTAAAAATAAACATTGAAGTATTTCTAATGACAATTACTATTTCTACGACAGTTAAAAAACACGTGCAAAACATTTTCGAAAAAAAAAGTAAAAACCACTGACGGTTTATACCCATGCATTCCTATATAGTTAAAAATACAACATTTTTCATACCCAATATACATTTGCCATGATTATCTTCAAGCGTATTCGAGTGGTAAGAAAGATCTTTTTCGAATTCACAGGTATTCTGAATAATGTCACTAACAAATCTTGCACGATTTTACACACAAAATATCCTTCAGCTGAAAGTGGAATGTATTCTATAAAACCACAAGGACTCAACCTCGCGGTTCGAGTATTTTGTGATATGACTTCAAAGGGTGGTGTTGGTGTGACAGTGATTGGACATGACAGTGAATCAAGAACATTTGTGGACGGATATAATAATGCAGGTTCTTACAAGAGAAAGATTAAATATGAAATTTCCATGGAGCAGATTGTTGCCATTACGACGCAGTCCAAGTATTGTGAGCAGTTTATAAAATATGAATGTTATCATAGCGTTTTTAGGTTCAGTTCCACAGGTGAATATCAAGGTTGGTGGGTATCACGTCAAGGTTCAAAGATGAATTACTGGGGTGGAGCGCCAGTCGACAGTGGAAAATGTGCCTGTGGAATGACCAACAGCTGTGCAGGTGGAGGAAACTGTGATTGTGACAAGAATGACGAAATATGGCGTGAAGACAGTGGATACCTGACAGACAAGAACACACTGCCTGTTACTGAACTGAGATTTGGAGATACTGGTAGATATCGGAGTACAGATGAGCGTGGTTATCATACACTGGGAAAATTACGTTGTTGGGATTAAGAAGATGAAAAATATAACCATTACGAGTGGTGCATCGCAATGCCCGTATAATATATCGTGCAGGGTCTATGGATGGTTTTGTCTTTTTTTATGTGCTTTTATATATTTTCATGCAAAGTATACAACATTTCCACGACTCTGCATTATTATATATTAATGTTTAAAACCTAATAACAAATGATTTTTGAAATAACATTACCAAATTCGCCACATATGACATGTTATTTGCGTATGAAAAATGTGATATAGTAAATTAACGGTAAATTCATTTGCTGGTATGCTAAGTGAGCATGCTTGGAATGATGGGTAATATCAAATTTCCCTTTCTCCCCCTCACTAAATGATCACGTTGAATGTAGGTCTGCATTTGTTTACTTAGCTCATGATTTGACCAATCATTGCGAAGATTAGGGTTAAGTTTATCCAATGAAAAGGGTGGAATTTGTCACGACATCGAAGGTTGAGCTTATTTGCACCGGCCGTGAAATATCACTTCAGTTCCAAGTTAATCTATAAATATAACCAGTCTCACAATGACAGTCGTGGTGAGTATTTGGGCGTTATTTATCCTTTCAAAAATAATAGAGCCAAGCGAATGCTTAGCTGGGATTAAGGAAGCTTTCTTCAAAGAAAATGATGGCAAGTATCTAGCAAATCATGTCATCGAATCAAAACACGCTAAAACAGAGTTAGAATGCAGTGGACATTGCGCGCGACATGGGCTTAACAGCCAGAACCTTCACGACACCTAGTTCTGGCTAGCTCTGACGATGATGGATGTATGAGTGACCCTGAATTTAAGTGAAGGATTAGAGAGTAGTGTTGGTTTTATATAGTGTCCATCGTTTTATCAGATCTGCATGTCATTTTTTAGTAAACTGCGGCTCGTGGTGACCTGTAAAGTTTACACACTTTAATTAAAAGCCCAAGATATGAAAAATATGAAAGATATTGAAAGATATTTTATACATCAAAGACATTTGGTATCCGGGAAGACTAAATTTAACACTATAGCGAGTGTTAATATAACACACAACGGTATCTCGATAAACTATACGCAAACCAGCTGCTCTTCCGTTGCCGTTGGTCACCATAAACTCATTGTGAGCGAACTTAAGCAGACATTACAAAAAGGACAACTCGAAACAGTTGCGTAACCAGAACGATAATTGGGGGCCCATATTCAGCTATTCGTCATACACAGGATTAATTTCTTTTCAAATCAATTGTCTTCACAGTCTGTTAACATGAATATATTAATATGTGCCCCCCCCCATTACCGATGCTGGCTACGCCACCGACGCATAAGGCGAAAACTCTTTGAAGAAGAAGAACCGAACAGCTAACGGCCATTTTTTACAGCGCCATGGAAATTTAGTCGATATTTTACTTGTTTGACTTTTCTATACCTATATTGTTAAACTCCAGCTTCATGCATGCATGCACGTCCAGCATGACATTCACGTGATAATTGTGACATATTAAATATGTGTAAATAAGGATCTTTGCTCAACTTCAGTAAATATTTGAAATATTTTATAGAATAAGAGCACACAAGTGTTTGTCAGAAAAAATACTCAGATCCTTCATATAGCAATATTTAAACGACTCTATATATTGTTTAATTTTTTCTACATGTTCTTAGCAGACTAGAGAGAACAGAGTATAATATTTTTCCGATTGTTTTCACAAAGTTATATCTAATTTAATTGCGTTTCAAAACAGGATTCCACAAGAGGTTTTTATTTTTGATTTTAGCAACGTTTCGAACAGTTTAACTGGGGTGAATGAACAGGGGTGAAAGTTTTAGAAGAAAAATTAAAATTTGAGTTATATCTAGTTGACAAACGTTAGTTTTTTCATCTAGACATGCAGGTCAAACATTATCAACATGAATAATTTATTATTTTATTTTAGGATTTTTAATGGCATTAAATATTTCCATTTTAAAATTCGACTATGGCAAACTTTGGTTTTATTTTATACACTAAAGTTTGGGCATCGCAATGCCCGTACAATCATGCATGGTCTATGTATAGTTTTGCCGGTTTTTTATTTAAAACAGGGTAGCTCTGTCAGGTGGTAAATACACCTGTTATCGATAGACCCGATCTAAGTAAAACATCCTGTTTGAAAGACGAAAAAAAAATGAAATAATTATTTGTGTGCTTTTATTTTCATGCAAAGTATACAACATTTCCACCACTCTGTATTATTAATGTTTAAAACTTTATGGCAAATAATTTTTGAAATAACATTACCAAAATTGCCGTATGCAGCATATGACATGTTATTTGCGTATGAAAAATGTGATATAGTAAATTAACGGAATTATTCATTTGCTGGTATGCTAAGTGAGCATGCTTGGAATGATGGGAAATATCAAATTTCCCTTTCTCCTCCTCCCTAAATGATTACGTTGAATGTAGGTCTGCATTTGTTTGCTTAGCTCATGATTTGACCAATCATTGTGAAGATTAGGGTTCAGCTTATCCAATGAAAAGGGTAGAATTTGTCACGACATCGAAGTTAAGGGGGGAGCTTATTTGCACCGGCCGTGAAATATAACTTCAGTTCCAAGGTGAACTATAAACATAACCAGTTTCACAATGACAGTCATGGTGAGTATTTGGGCGTTATTTATCCTGTCAAATATAATAGAGCCAAGCGAATGCTTAGCTGGGATTAAGGAAGCTTTCTTCAAAGAAAATGATGGTAAATATTTAGCAAATCATGTCATCGAAAAAAAACATGCAGAAACCGAGTTAGAATGCAGTATGTACTGCATTCGACATAGATCATGTGTGTCGGTTAATTACAAAACATCTGGAATCGGTAAAGGTCGATGTGAGCTCAACAACAAGACCCTTCAAGACGCATCTGACGATGATAAAAGTACGAGAAATCCCGAGTTCAAACATCTTTATATAATCGAACAGGTAAAAATTCAAAGAAGTATTGTTTTCTAATGTTTTTAAAACGAACAATGGTTCAGAAGCATATATATATAAAATAAAACACTGTATTAAAATTTACCCCATGCAGAGTTAGCGCTAGACTAGCTTTGAACAACTTGCCCCATACAGGTGTATAAAAAACAAAGTTTTTTTCCTAATGGAAATCAGCGAACAAGTGCATGGTGAAAATTTATGTTTATTTGTATTCATTTATTTAAAGCTTAGCGGAAACTATAACTGCATGTGGGTTTCGCCAGTAGAAAACTCTAAGCTTCTATGCTGTATTAGACAACGCTCGTTTTAAGTTAGCTGTATAATATAGCTATGAACGAAAGAATTGCAAAAATGAGAAAAGTCAATATATATATAAATGGAATATGAATGCATGACTTGGGATAAGTATTGATTTTTGCGACGAAAATGCACGAGAATTAAACAATATTTTTCGATCATGCATTCTCAATTACAAATTACTTTAATTTCCTTCCAAGCATGACGGTTTAAGTGTAGGTTTGAAGAGTAGTATATTGCTTTTAGTGTCAATCGTTTTATCCGAGCTGTCGTTTTCGGGTAAAGTCCGGCAAACTGCGGTGCGTGGTGACCTGTAAAGTTTACGCACTTAGTAAAAGCCCAAGCATGCAAAGCTAGTTAATAATCAGGCTGCAGGTGGTCGTGCCAATCTACTCAACTGTCATAATAAAAACGCCTTCATCGCCTATAAACCCGTAAATAAATTAATAAGCTAGTTCCGCAGTAGTTAGCTAGCACGTCAAGTGGACTCAACGGAGAAAAAAAATAATGTGAAACATTCGGAGAAAACTTATACATGCATGCCGGAGAAAAAAAATAATGTGAAACATTCGGAGAAAACTTATACATGCATGCCGGCATAAAACCAAAGAAGAGGAAGTGCATTGCGAAAAAGCCCTCGATCCACACGACTCTAAATTAAGAGAAAATTAAAACACAAAATTAAGAGAACTGAGAAAGGTCTCAAGAAAGGCAATTAGGCAAAAGTGCCGAAAAAAAACTATTAGCATGAGTATTTACGACACAGTCTTCTTTTTTATAGATAACCCCGAAACCAGTTCCAAGCAACCAGCTTTCTTCACAAAGTCTCTCAACTGGTATGAAATATAAAGCTAAGCACTATAGATAGATAACAACAGTCCCGCCTGCATGAGAACTCGTAAGAATAATTTATGTTTTCTAACGGATCCCAGCTTTACTTTTGAAATATAAAATTAGTTAATTAGTATCATTTGTGGTTTATTAAAACATGCATATATTTCTTAACAAAACTTTCCAGGTTTTTTTGTTTTTCTTGCTCCAAGGGTGGCATTGAAATTTGTGTTTTTCAGCCCCTATGAAAATTTTCTCAAAAGTAGAGATTGCTATAAGACTACGGATAGCGTAATTTCAATAGAAATGTTACAGCCCAGAAAACCGTTTTAATAAAACTAAAAATCAAATTGAACAAGAAAATAAAAAATTGAAATACTTTTATGCACAAAAAAGTACGCGATGTTATATACGATTTCATAAAAATAGTTTGTACGAAAGCCATAACTTGGTTCAGAGAGTTTATTCATTACTTATTCCATGTGATAACGTAACATTTGAAATAGCTGGTTCTTACCATGCTAAACCTATATCAAATATCCTATATAAAAATAGTTTATATGAAAGTCATCACTTGGTTCGGAGAGTTTCAAAAAATAATTATTATTTCCATGATACACATAACCTTTAAAATTGCTGCAATAAAAACCTAGTAACCAAGACAACATTGTTTTAATTCACAGGTATTTCCATTCCAGTCAACAAATCCTGCACGATTTTACGCACAAAATATCCTTCAGCTGAAAGCGGAATGTATTTTATAAAACCACAAGGACTCTCTGTTCGAGTATTTTGTGACATGACTTCAAAGAGTGGTGTTGGTGTGACAGAGATTGGACATGACAGTGAATCAAGAACACTTGTGAGTGGATGTTTTCCTCCAGGTTGTTACAAGAGAAAGATTAAATATGAAATTTCAATGGAGCAGATTGTTGCCATTATGAACCAGTCCAAGAATTGTGAGCAGTTTATTAAATATGATTGTTGTGATAGCAGATTGTTACCAGGTTCCGGCTTTGGTTGGTGGGTATCACGTCAAGGTTCAAAGATGAATTACTGGGGTGGAGCGGCAGTCGACAGTGGAAAATGTGCCTGTGGAATGACCAACAGCTGTGCAGGTGGATGGAAATGTAATTGTGACAAGAATGACTACACATGGCGTGAAGACAGTGGATACCTGACAGACAAGAACACGCTGCCTGTTACTGAACTGAGATTTGGAGACACTGCCGCAAGTCACGAAAAAGGATATCACACATTGGGAAAGTTGCGTTGTTGGGATTAAAATCAAATAAGACAAAAACCCATGCATTTATGTATTTTAAACGTAAAAACAAGGAAAATAATTAGGAAAATAATATGAACGTGAAATTGATTTGTCATAACAACATTGTAGCAAATATTCATTTTTCTTCCTCTCCAAAGTACAGTCCAAATACTTAGCTTATGTAAAACAGTGAAATAAATAAAATAAACAGTAAATAATACCAGCGTGTTCTCTTAAACCTCTAATAATATATTGTTGTTCGTTATGAAAAATTAAGCAGTTTTTGATCGATTTTATAACCCAAAGTTGACCTTCGTGTTGGAAACAAATTTGAATAAAAGAAAGGGCAGGACAAGACAAGGTATTAGGACGCTTGCCTATATGAAAGAATTAGGTTTGCTTTAGCATCAGATTTATACAGAAGAAAATTCAACGAAAGAAATATGGTTTCAAATATCCTGTGAAAAATATTGTGTTTTTTATCTTGTTGTACTATGACAAGCAACTTCTGCTTCGTCAGGAAGTGACAAAACTTGACAAGGTGAGATAATTTCCATTTTATTATTGTTCTATAAAAAATTGACCTTTAAGAACTCTCATATGAGAGTTGTCTATTTAATGCCAAATTTACTTAATGCAGCTCCAGATACGACGTTCTTTCCGCGTTCTCTTGTCAAGAATATATTTATTATATGATCGTATCGATGTCTTATTCAATATTAATACAGCACAATATAAATTAGCCCGCTTTGAAAACTTGCTGCCGAATATCACGGCTTAAACTTGGTGGGAGTTGCGAAGTTTACACAAACTGTTTACATAAAATGCGAATTTGATTGTGACAAGTATATTATGCAAATTGTTTGTTGAATAAGGACCTAGCTGTCTTTGATTATGATCTGACCAAATTTTCCTAACTTGTTATCATGCTGATCGAAAGAAAGGTCTTCTCTAGCCCTCTGTGACAAATTTTAATTAAACTAACAATAATCATCTGTCTCAAAACAATGTGTTTCCTAGTGGTCTCTCATGGAGAGCATCAGATGGCTGTCCTAGTCGGAGCAGTTATAGTGCAAAAGGTTAAAGCAACTAGCAAATTAAAGACCACATATTCCGCGCTAAAAAATGTAATTTATAGTATTAATAAATAACACATAATTTTTATGACGATCTCTGCGCTGTGTCAATAAATCTGTCATCTGAGGAATACGACGCAATGGAAACACACGGTATTCACACACAAAGATTTAGTATTTTATCCAATCCTTAATTCATCATATCACTGTAAATATCGGCAAAACAAATTTGAGAACAAGAAGCGATAGAAAATTGTTAAACGTGTTTTTTATGACTCAAATTTAAATACAATACACATGCATATGTGTTTGATATATTGACACACATACTTGTGTTATGTAAATCTTTTCCTGACGGAAGAAGCCTGCTTGTGCCTTGTGATAGAAAAAAATGTAATTATCCTTTTCATCTTGACACATTCCTATATATGTTTAAGATGAACTTACACTTTTAAAACTAAATTCGTCTTGATATTCTTTATATCAGGACAATCGTGATAGAAGAGGTGATGTGTGAATTGTTTTAATTTTATTGTACGCATAAAACTCCGAATAAACGGACCAAAAATTTCATTTTGTAGTGAAAATATAGGTGGTATATCGTTTTACCATGACATGGCGAATACACAAGAAGATGCGAGTTTGATCGACGTGTTTACGGGTTATGTAAACTATTTGCTGAAGGAAGAAGTTAGTCTGCCTTTTCCCTTTGTATGAGATTGTAATAAACAAAATAAACCCAGGCGTTTTACCATTACGTGTCAAGACACAGTGGAAAGAAGGTTAAACTTTTGCTGAAGAAGAATTATGTTTTCTAAAATAGTGTGGAAAATCCTGATTTTTTCAGTGTCTTTTTATTTTACAAATTTCGGCTTTTCTCAGGGCAAGAAGGTGAGGGAGAATTCTACAATTGTTCAGACTTCGCTACGCACCTACTGACCTACGCGAATATCAAAGTCGAAATGTATAATGAACTGATTTATTGTTTGGTCATTTGTGCTCCCTTTCCTAGGATTTTAAGAAATGCAATCCAGGCAAACGATTCAGTTACAAAAACGAAGCAGGACAAGTAAAGATATTGATTTGCGCCGGATTAAAAAACGGCGTCCCTGAATGGCAATACACTGATGGTAAGATATTAATATTGATCTACAAAGGTATTTAGTGGGACTTGTGTATTGATTATGGTCGCTGTTTACTGTGTTTTGCTGGACCGATATGGTGAATCATTAGAGAATCCTAAATAGTACAAAAATTTTTAGGTTCTTCAACACTGGGTGAGAAGTTCAACCCAGCCAGAGATTGTCCAGATATTGTTGATCATTTGCCGGACGCAGAAGATGGATTTTATTGGGTTTCGTTTGGCACTAAATCAAAACATAAGGTATTGTAACAACTTGTGCTCTTTGTGATCGTCATCTTTCTGAAACATTTATCAACGTAACCTTTCCTCCATGACAACGTTGTACTATAGTTATCAACCTTCTTCTCAATGATGTCCTCTCTCTTCCCTATTAAATCCTCTCTTGCTCCTATGATTTACTCTTTTCCTTAGATGTCCTCTTTCTTCCCTATGATATCCTCTCTTGCTCCTATAATTTACTCTTTTCCTTAGATGTCCTCTCTTATCCCTACGATGTCCTCTCTCTTCCCCATGATATCCTCTCTTGCTCCTATGATTTACTCTTTTCCCAAGATGTCCTCTCTTATCCCTACAATGTCTTCTTTCTTCCCTATGATATCCTCCCTTGCTCCTATGATTTACTCTTTTCCCAAGATGTCCTCTCTTATCCCTACGATGTCCTCTCTCTTTCTTATGATATCCTCTCTTACTCCTATGATTTACTCTTTTCTCAGTGATGTCCTCTCTTGTCCCTGCGATGTCTTCTCTCTTCGCTACGATGTTCTCTCTCTCTTCCCTATGATGTCCTAATTCCTCTCTATGATATCCTCTCTCCTCCCTACGATGTACTCATTGTTCCATATGATCCTCTCTACTGTCTTTTTAAAAAGGTTTGGTGTGATGTACATACAGATGAAGGAGGGTTTATGTTGGTTGGAATGAAGAACAGTCCTGTATCTTGGACAGTACCATCCAACTCTATCCCTGTTGACCCTAAAGGACCCCCACATTGGTCAAGCAAACTTGGAGATATTCAAATACTGGATTTTGGAGTCCAGTTTTCCTCAGACAATTCTTTTGAAAGAACCAAAGCACACTGGTAAGAGGTTGCAAAAGAATGAATTGACAATTAGCAAAGCTGAAAGCTGGTAATCATTTAAAGAATTCTGCTGTACTCTTTTATCCTGATTAACTATGTATCTTGCTATTACTATAGGTTTTATCGTTTAAACCAAAAGCGTCAACTTGGAAATATTTTCTCAAATGACGTATCAATTGGTTGTTCAATAAATAATCCTGGAATTGGGGGTATCAAATACATCAAGGATGTCCAAAGCGACTCCATCACCACAACGAATTTTAGATGTTCCATATTTGGACCTCACACTCACAGTAGTTTGGGATGGGTGAATATCATTCTAGTGTACACAAAAATTTTACATCAAACCTATATTAATGAACCTCGAATATCAGTAATGTTTGGGAGAAAACGTTTGCGAAGAAATTTTCCTCCGGTTTTACTAAATGAAAGTAGGAAGAGAAACTAATGTCTGTATTAATATCGTTCAGGCAAGAATGAATTATTGTCTTCGTAATACTTGCAAGAAAGGATATGGTGTAATTCCTGGTCCTTTTTCATTTCAATATACTCAATATGGATCCTTTAGGTAAGGTTTTAATGAAAGGCTAAGATAAAATATCAAATTATTAAAAGTATTGCAAGAATTCATTAAAAGTATATCATATAATGTCACATATAACGTGGAACTGCAATAAGAACTTTGTATTTGTGACAAGGCTTGTCTATGCTGGCCCTGGATTCGGTAATAGTTCCCAGATATATAGTTTACAGCAAAGTAATTATATAGTTACAGCGCCGTATCGGCTTTGACTGGTCTGGGACGTAATTCCACAGCCTTCCTTGGATGCGATAACGGGAAAGTGAGTAAAGAGACTATTTGAAATATAAAAGAGGTTAATTTGAAATATTAAAAGACGAAAGCACTCCAGTAACGCTATAATAGTCAGATGACCGAAAGCCTGTGCACACCTGTTAAAATTTTTTCAGTGTCATTTGATCAAAAACAACAACTTAAAAGACAAAAATTAACAATGTGTTATAACTATACATCTTGGTGTAAGTTACTTCTCACGTGTTTTTTCAAGTGTTGCGGATGTTTTGGTCCTAAAGGTGGAAGACAAGACTACTGTGGTCCTGGATGTACTTCAATCAATGGTGGAACCGTAATACAGAATGTTTTTGTTTGGTTTTGGGTGAGAAACAGAATGCCAGAAAGACTTTGGAAAAGGTGCATGGAGTTCACCATGAAGAATTCAGCAGGCGTATCTGAGAAATATTTTATTGATCCAAGAACTGGTACTGCACATAAGGTGAGGGTTTTGGGGAAACAGCCCAAGAATGAAAAAAATAAATTAAACACTTGATTTAATTTGTTAAGGGTTCCTGTTCAGAGCAATTTAAGACATTTCTCAACGAGGGTGTAAGTATATGTATAGATACATAAATACAGGAAGAGAAGACGAGCACAGGTAACTTTAAGGAGCAAAATGAAAAAAACAGCAGATTGAAGGCTCATAACATTTAAAACCATACTTCATGTAAATTGAGAGGAATGAAGGAAGAACATGTAGAGATGAGTACAGTCAGGAGTAAACCCAGAACTTTAATGATCAAAATGAATCCTCTATAACATTTCATGTAGACATTGACTGTAGCTGACAAAAAAGGGTTTAAAAAGATCCCAAACGTTCCTGGTCTTCTCTCATATCGTGAAGATAATCAACAACTTTATGTTAATAATGGATCAAAGTGGCAACCATTAGATAATGAAGGAGAGGTAATCAAGTTTGTTTATTGACAGTATTTTTATGCAAAATTGTTATAAATATGGAAATGCTCAGTATTCATTTTATTTTTCCAGGTTCGACAATTACAGCAAGAAGTTAAAAGTCTAGAAACACAACTCAAAACTCAAGGGAACTTGATAAAGAAGCTAGAAAAAGGTAATTCAGAAACGTATTGATGAATTTAAATTAGACACGCCGCATGCATGCATTCTAAAGACGGCTTTTTAAAAAAATTAACAACTTTTACCTGTGTGGAGATTGCGTCAAAGAGGGTGAATGGAATCAGTTTTTCGTATCATTGTCATTGTCACATGTTAAAGTTCAGGTCAAATCTGAGGTTCTGCTCACTCAGGGTCGTTTAATGTAAAAATTGCCCAAATTTGCATGTTTTGTATTTTCTCAACAAGTCATAAACTCAAGTTCATTTAGAAGCGTAGCTAACCTAAATAATGTTAGATATCAAGACACGACGCCCCAATTTTAAAGGTTCGTTTACATATGGACTTAACTTACATTTTAAGCTCTATAGTAACAAAGCGTTACATGCTTCACAGATATTTTAAAGTTACCCGTATTCAACCTTACGAACAACGGTTCCTACAGACGACGGTGGAAATTTTATGTAAATGCCACCCAAAATTATCAGCTCCTGCATTCTGTAATATGAATTCACTGAATGGTGTTATTGTCGAAATTTTGGGAATACTGAATGCGAATTTTGGGAATACCGATCAACTCAAGGAGTTGCATATCATTGAAAACAATGATTAGCCGACAAACCCGCGTTACCTGGGAAAAATCTTAAACGATTCACTAAAAAACAACGAATATTAATAATCTTGACAATAACATATAATTTGCTTTAAATCAACATCAACTCGATATGAATCTTTAGTAATAAAGTGTGTTACATTCCACAGGTTTACAAATTTATCCTTCTTGTTCAATATTACGACAAACGAGGCCTACAGCCGATAGTGGAACGTATTTGGTGAGTCCCATTCCAGGACTTTTAGTTTCAGTATTTTGTGACATGACTTCAAAGAATGGTGTTGGTGTGACAGAGATTGGACATGACAGTGAATCAAGGACACTTGTAAAAGGGTATAATTCTCCAGGCTCTTACCACAAAAACATTAGATATGACATTTCCATGGAGCAGATTGTCGCTATAATGAAGCAATCCAAGAATTGTGAGCAGTTTATAAAATATGAATGCTATCATAGCTTTATCTGGCACAGCACCAAAAGGATATATTATAGTTGGTGGGTATCTCGTCAAGGTTCAAAGATGAATTACTGGGGTGGAGCGGCAGTCGACAGTGGAAAATGTGCCTGTGGAATGACCAACAGCTGTGCAGGTGGAAAAAAATGTAATTGTGACAAGAATGACAAGGCATGGCGTGAAGACAGTGGATACCTGACAGACAAGAACACACTTCCTGTTACTGAACTGAGATTTGGAGATACTGGCGGTAGTGCTGAGTCTGGTTATCATACACTGGGAAAATTACGTTGCTGGGGGTAACATAAAACCTGGTGTGATTAATATGATCTTTTTGATCAAAGTTTTTAGAAATTTCGTTATATAGGCAATCGAAACTTTGATCTCGTAATTTCATCAATGTGATTTATAAACCATAGTGTCAATGCCATCGTCAACAATAAACATATTGCGTACTTTATGCCATTGTAAGACCAGGCAGACATAGAAACAGCGACCTGGTTTCTTAATGTACTAGTACTACTGTTATTCATCACGGACAAGGTTAGACGGAACAAGCTCTGAATAATGTTTTTGAGGTGCTAGACCTCTGGCGAAATGGAGGTCTGATGTTATAGACTCAATATTAGACGTAAATGGAAAGGTCTCAAACGAGGAATTCGCTCAATTCAGGTCGTTAACATTAGTTTATGCTTATAAAAAGTTTAATTTTTGAAAGTCAAATACAGTTTTTAATTTGAACTTGGCCTGGTTGTATTCTGGCCAATAAAATACAAGAAAAATAATCTATATGATTATATTTCATATAAAGAAAAATGCGACTGAGCACGAATTAAAATATCTATCAATTCATATCTATATTTGTATCAACATAAAGAAATGATAATTTGAAAAAAATTAGCCTGCATCGTTTCAGCCTAAACGACATTTCGCTTTTTTAATTACATTTTACATTCAATTCATCTGCAACTCATTACAGCAGAGAGCGTTGATTCATCTTCTCATAGTCTCATCCTCAAATTCATCAAAATCGCCTTGTTTTTCTATTCTCGTATCCTTAATTAAAACCAGGGTATTTCGAGGCTCATTGCGGTGGACAAAGTCAAAGTATTACCCTTGTTTCTGGTTTTCTTTTTTTTCTTTCAAAATAGGTTTGTTTATGTTGTGTGTGTAGCAGGATGTCAGTCAGGCAGATCTACCACCCGATTATATAAGTTTTACCTATTATTAGCTAATATTTCTTAATTTGGGAAAATTATAAGATAACTATGTGTACTAGGACATGTTAACAAACGGTTAAACTACAGTTAATAAAAGAACTAATCAAAACCGTGCATTTCTGAGTAAACTAAGATTCAACCACACAAAATGTAGTTAGGAGTTTTATAGAAATGGCTGCAAAAAAAGAAAATTTCAAGCCACGAAACTAAATAATCCTCCGTAATCATTAGTATTTCGGGAAAGGAATAATAGTATTTACTCACTAGCGGTCATGTAATAAGAGGTGTATCAATTACACAAGCCAGTCACACTACTTTGGAGTAACGATAACGATATCAACATTAGCAATCTGCGGAAATTTACTTCGGAAAACAGGTCAGTTATGTAACATAGATATCACAGGTATAGTTGCTGGGTGACTACGATCTGAGATCTATTTAGGCATTAGCTATAAGCTACGTGTTTTATTGTAATGTTGTGTCCCTCTCCTAAAGTATTCAGTGAACTGTATTAAATCATTTAAATGTCGTTAAGCCTGTGTAGGCAAGAATGTTGTATCAAACAGCGGCAAAGCAGGTTATCTCTGCATCATAGTAGTGCATGCACACGGTCGGGAGGGGATTAACTACATTAAAGAAAAGAATATCACTTGTGAACAAGTGCTCCTTATCGAAGTGAGTTTCTGATCAAATATGCACAAAGAAATTCAACCTAAGCCATATCAATTGTTGACGGATGTGTTATACGAAGTATGATCCCATATATTCATTGAAATAAAAGAACTAAAGTATTAAAGACTAGGAATACTAGTAAATATCCTACAGAAATCTAGACAATATTTTTTTAAAACAGTATCATTGTTTGTTCACAATGTTTACACTAATGCGATATAAACATGCCCTGAAAAAATAGACACACTGTGTGAGCGAATGTTTGCTGGGTATGCATGAGGTAGGTAAGTTGTGTATAAAAAGCGAAGGTTTCTACAACCTCGTACCCAGGGTCTTTACTCGTGGTGGTACTCCCCACCACGAGTAAAGACCCTGGGTACGAGGTTGAGGTTTCTATAGCATAATTAGAGATCAGGGGCTGGTCGTATGAAAGCAGGATAGCGATTTTTTGAACCGTTCTAAAAATCCTTAAAGAACAATAAAATTTCATCTTTGGAACCAACAATTATTAAAGTAGATCCTCGATTTAGGAATACTAAGATTTAATCAAAGTTATAGCAAACAACGGGCGATTTTAAAGCGATTGAAAAAATCACTATCCAGTTTTCATACAACCGGCCCCAGAAAATAAATCACTTGTGGCAACAGATTTTCACCAAACATCAGCTTCTTGTGCGCCGAACGCATTAAAACAATAGATAAAAAGGCAGCATTCAAACGCCTGAATTCAATCCGGTTTAGCATAATTCTTAATTGATGCATACTGTACATTGCACAAAATTCATAGGATTTATAATTTAAAGGCGCGACCATTAATTTGAAAGCGGTTTCTTAAGCGTCGTTGTCGCGTCGCCGTATTAAATTTCAACTTCCTATTATTTTACTGTTAACGAGAAACCCTGCTCGGTTCTTCATCAGCGGGTTTCCCACATAAAACTTGTGTACTATAAACAGGTAATATTATGTAAATCGATTGCTGAAGGAACACGTCTGTCTGCTCTTGCCTTTTACCAAATTTGAAAAACTATGAAAGGTCATAGTCGGCTTAATTAACTTTCAAAAAGAAATCCTCTTTTGTGCTTTGTTGATATGGCTGTTCCTGTGGTGAATCTTTATAGCAATATATATGCGTGAATTGATCCTAATAAAATACAAATTAACCGGCGTGTTTGATCTAGATGGCCAGACATGGGTACATTATGTGAATTATTTCCTCAAAGTATATAGAGCTTGTCTAACTTTGATTTTAATTTGATTGATTTTCCCCCAACATATCTAATAACAGCCAAACCAGAGAAACTAGCCTGCCTCGCTAGTCACCATCGATAGCGTGTCAAGAAGCGATGAATGTGAGAAGATGGCGGATTTAACTAACCAATTTTAAACAAACGCAAACATGTTTTTCAAACAAAATATTTATAGCTCGATTACTAGTGAATTCTTTGCTGAAGGAAAGAGCTCGTCTGCTTGAGTCCTTTGTTATTGATTTTAATTAAAATAAAAGAACCCAGGTCATTTTATCACTACGTGTCAAGACACAGCGAAAGAAAGCCTGAACTTTTGTTGAACAAGAATCATGTTTTCGAAAATCTTGTGGAAAATCCTTATTTTTTCAGTTTGTTTAAGAGTTACAACTACTGGTTTCTCGGAGGGAAGCGAGGTGAGAGGAATCCTTAAAATTGGTTTATATTTTAGCCACTTGCAAAGTTTGAATTTGCACAAGAGATTGTTCAGCACCTAACATATTGGCTCATTTATCGGAAAGTCATGCATTTTTACTTCTTTTATTCCAGAATTTTAAGGAATGCAATCCAGGTAAACAAATCAGTCACAAAAACCAAGCAGGTCAAGTGAAGATATTGATTTGCGCCGGATTAAAAGACGGCCCCTCGCCTGAAATGGCAATACTGATGGTAAGGAATTAATATTTGTGACGTAATATTTGTAAAAATGTATTATATGGTTTCTGTTTTTAAATTCTTACATCTCTATGATCAATGAACCAAAAAGAAGAGACATCCTTCATAAAGATTTTAAAATACAACAGTTCAAAACAATTCATTCATGAATAACTTGCTTCGAAGATGGGAAAATGAAGATGGAATGGGTTGATTACTAACAAGACAAACCTGATGACTGATCTTGACTTATCTATCTAGTTTAAAACAAATCAGTTGAACTTAGGCCGTTTCTATTCTTCGTAGTAATATGAATCGATAAATTTGAAAAAGGTGGGGGGAATTGGTTTAGAGCACAATCATTAGGAAGATTCTTTTACGCCAACACTCGCTTCTTGGAGTAAATCTCTTTAAGCAACTTTTATGTTTTGAGGTTCTTCAACATTGGGCGAAATATTCAACCCAGCAAAAGATTGTCCTGACATTGTTGATCATTTGCCTGGAGCAAAAGATGGATTTTACTGGATATCTTTTGACAACAAAACTAAACACAAGGTAAATACGACAAACATCATTTATTACTAACCATCTTCTCTGATGCACCGCTCCATTTCGTTACCTAACGTTTTTCTTACTTCAACTGTCTTTTAAAGCCTTCTCTGTTTCAAAGTTTTCCTTAGTTATTTAGTCAGTTATTATACTCTGCGAGGCAATCTCTCGCCCATGCTTGTCTAGTCCAGCCATTTTATATATTTTGTTGCTTTCTGTCAAATTTAAAAAAAAATTGTCATACGAAGGCACTTCTCGAGTCAAGTGACACAACTGCATTGTGCCAGTCATCAAGACACAAAGTTACATAAAGTAGATAATAATTTTCTTTGTTTTTAACCTAAGGTTTGGTGTGATGTACATACAGATGAAGGGGGGTTTATGTTGGTTGGAATGAAGGACAGTCCTGTATCTTGGACAGTACCATCCAACTCTACTCCTGTTGATCCTAAAGGACCACCACATTGGTCAAGCAAATTTGGTGATTTACAAATACTAGATTTTGGAGTTCAAATTTCTTCTGATGATACATTTAAAGAAACCAAAGCACATTGGCAAGGATATATTCCAATTTTCAAAGCTCTTTAGTTATCAAACACAAAACTCTTCGGTATTTTCTTTATTGATTATTTGCCTATTACTGTAGGTTTTATCGTTTAAACCAAATGCGTCAACTTGGGGATATTTTTTCAAACGACATATCAACTGGTTGTTCTCTAAGCACTCCTGGAATTGAGGATATCAAATATGTCAAGGATGTCCAAAGCGGTTCTATCATTACGAATAATTTTAAATGTTCCATATTTGGACCTCACACTCGCATTAATTTAGGATGGGTGAATATTTAATGCAATTGAGAAATTTACATGAAACTTGTGTACCTAAATATAAGTATGTAAATAAGTTCCAACTTCCAATATAACCAGGAAGCAGCGTGGCAGCGTCTTCAAACAACTTATAATCAAATGTGGTATAACAACTGCCTAAAATAGACAAAACACTTCTCGACGTTTCGACCTGAGGGCCTTCGTCAGGAGAGTTAGTTATACTAACTCTACTTTAGGCAGTTACCACATTTGATGCTAAATATTAGTATAGTCTTTCGGTAAGAAAAATAAATAAAAGCCGTTTACTTATAGTAGTACTAGCGGAATTACTTTTCCTCTTCATGGTTTTTACAGCAGAATTAGAAATATGCGTTTTGGGCAAAAGAAAATAAACGCCTACGTTTTAATACTTTCTAGGCAAGAATGAATTACTGTCTTCGCAATGATTGCAAGAAGGGGTATGGTGTAATTCCTGGTCCTTTTTCATTTCTTTACACTGAATATGGCTCTTTCAGGTAAGATTTTCACTGAAAATGTTAGGCTTTGTCAATTCAACGTCAAGTTTCTGTAATAATTCAGTAACTGTGCGTGAAGAAAATGTTCACAGAATAGTTTTATAGTTACAGCGCTGTGTCAGCTTCAACTGGCATGGGACGTAATTCCACAGCCTTCCTTGGATGCGATAACGGGAAAGTAAGTGACTAGTTACTAGGAATACCAATGCGACTAGCTCTCCAGTAATGTTATAAAGATCAGGTGGCTATTAATCCAGTGAACATTCGTTGATTTCTTAAAGCTATGTCGTAATCTTAACTTAATCGGCATATAGGTCAGTGACTTAATAGTTATATAATTTGAAGATATAGGTTAAGCGTAGAGTAATTATTTATATCTGTAGCAACATTTATCGCCCCCTCATATGTCCTCTATAATAATATGCATTATTAGTGTTGCGGATGTTTTGGTCCTAAAGGTGGAAGACAAAACTACTGTGGTCCTGGATGTACTGCAATCAATGGAGGAACAGTAATGAAGAATGTTTTTGTTTGGTTTTGGGTGAGAAACAGAATGCCAGAAAGACTTTGGAAAAGATGCATGGAATTTACCATGAAGAATTTAACAGGCGTATCTGAGAAATATTTTATTGATCCGAGAAGTGGTACTGCACATAAGGTGAGCGTTTGTTGACAACAAGAATGAAACTATAGAAAAAATGAAATGTAATTCTTCGGTTCTTTTTAAGGGTTCCTGTTCAGGACAATTTAAGAGATTTCTTAACGAAGGTGTAAGTATATACAATAATTGTGTTTCAACAAATTCTACTGAAAAACAAAATAAGCAATAGCAAAGAGCACTGGTATAGGACTGAAAAATAAAACAACAAAAGAGATAGTGAAAAAACCAGCGGAGAATAATAATATGAAATTCAGTAAATACACAGGTTTGTGACGGAGGGTTCGTACCATGATCATCTCCTGGCATTACCAATTTACAAGAATACATCAGAAAATTCAAAATTTTTAACTCCAATAATCAATGCGAACTCTTGGTGACGTTTCTTGTAGACATTGACAGTAGCTGACGAAGATAGTTTAGAGAAGATCCCAAATGTTCCAGGTCTTCTTTCATATCGTGAAGATAATAAACAACTTTATGTCAATAATGGATCAGAGTGGCAATCATTGGCTTATGAAGATGAGGTTGGTTTACTGTAGTTTTTACTGGATTGTTCATTCAAATGTTATGAAATACTGATATTGAAAATAAATTGTCTAAATGAAAATGCATATTACTTTCAAGATTCGACAATTACAGCAGAAAATTATAGATCTTGAAAGAAGAAACGAAAATCAAGAAAGTATGATTCGAATTCTTGAAAAAGCAATCGAAACTCAGCAGAACATAACGAAGAAGTTAGAAAAAGGTAATTTCATAGTTCCATTTGCAAACATAATTATTATGCTATTTTGAGCTTTGCTTTGCTGCTTTGCTCTATTCAATAAAGTATCGTGTACGGTCAGAATAATCCACACCGTTTTGGTTCGCTATACTTTAAAATAAAATGAAAACTGAAGTCAGAAAATAATAATAATAATAATAATAATAATAATAATAATAATAATAATAATAATAATAATAATAATAATAATAATAATAATAATAATGGAAACTTTATTTTCTTTAATACATACTTACAATTGCAAATCTCACTGTTAAAGGTAATTTACAATTGGCTACTTGATATATAAAAATTTGATATATAAAAATTTGATTATACGTTATGCATTATTACACCTTACATTTACACAAGTACACATGCAATATAACAAGCATATTAAAATTTTAGTAAATCTGGGTTTGTCCAATCCTTGTTTCTACAACAAAAAACGTAATATGTTGACCTAATTGCAATATTAATGACCTTTCTGATTATATATCGTACACCAGCCTTGTCGGATTTTAAACTTTCCAACATATCAATGAAGACTGAGCATTCTTTCTCAAAAACACCAAGGGCACTAATCGACAGATTGATGAACTTTACTGTTTTAAAATATTTCTTCTGTTCCGTAATCGTATCTTTATATTTCACGTGTTTTCGCTGCGCATTTTTTCTTAGATTAGTTTCGTACCCGACGGTTAGTTCAAGGATAAAGACAATTGTCTTTGGTCACAATTAGTAGATCAGGACGATATTCTTCACCAGTAATTATTGAGGGATTCGGGAATGATGGCAAGTCAGCATAGATGTTTTGAATATATTCCTTGGGAAGGTTATTGGCAAGAAAATTTAGGATTGAATCGTGTCTCCAAGTAAATCGTTCTAGGTAGGAACTGCAACCAGAGACAACGTGCAACAATGATTCAGGGTTAAGGCAGAATGAACATTCAGAAGACGACGAGAGTCCCCACTTATGTAGATTTTTCCGGGTTGGTAGTGAATTGTTGATGTACCGAATGCTGAAGTTGAAAATATTCTTGGTAGTTTCGATTGACAAGTAGACCAAATACAGTTTACTTCGGGTAGAGAGAATTTTGTTATGCTGGAAAAGAACGAACCTTGACATTTCAGTTGATTTTCTAATTTATCTTCTTGACTTTTTCTGAATGACTTAACAACTTCTTTCGTTGAATTATATTGATCATATTGAGTGTTAGTATGATTAGAAGAAGATTTCCATAGGTGTTTTATTGATTCGTTAGGAGAAGATTTCAAGACACTGCGGATAGTTGTTTGACATTGGTTGAATTTAGTAGAAGGAGGAATGATGTTAAGACCAAATTTGTTTCTAGTTAGGTAAACGTAACTAAGCGATCCAGAGATAGGGAGTTCAAGCCATTTTCGGTGTACTGTTTGAAAACTGAGTCCAGGTTTCCGAAATCCAGGTTTTTGAATGGATGCTACTGTGAGATGCCACGAGAGTTTTGAAAGTACATAACGGCTGTATAAAAGAATTTTATATTTTGGGTGCAGTGGCTTCAGATCTATATCTTTCATCAGGCCGGTGAATAAGGAGAGTAATTCTGATTTGTGTTCGTCATTTGTCATTTCAATAATAATAATAATAATAAAAATAATAATAATAATAATAATAATAATAATAATAATAATAATAATAATAATAATAAATATAATAATAATAATAAAAATAATAATATATAATAAATAATAATAATATAAATAATAATATATAATAATAATAATAAAATAATATAATAATAATAATAATAAATTATCATTATTATTATTATTTTTTTAAATCAAGCAGCCCACCATGGTATAATAAGCAGGGGCCGGTTGTGTTGGATAGCGAATTGATTTTCTCAACCTTTCTAAAAACACTTGAAAAGCAATAAAATTTTAGCTTTGGAACCTGAAAATTAGATGTTACTAATTTCAATGCTAAGATTAAGAACGAAATAAACTTTTTCATGTGTGTACGTAAAAGTGTCTTACATTTCACAGGTTTACAAATTTATCCTTCTTGCTCATTATTACGACAAGCGAGGCCTACAGCCGATAGCGGAACGTATTTGGTAAGTCCTGTTCAAGGACTTTTAGCTTCAGTATTTTGTGACATGACTTCAAAGAATGGTGTTGGTGTGACAGAGATTGGACATGACAGTGAATCAGCAAAACGTGTAAAGGGATGTCAACCGCCAGGTTGTTTCAAGACAAAGATTCAATATGACATTTCCATGGAGCAGATTGTTGCAATTATAAAGCAGTCCAAGAATTGTGAGCAGTTTATAAAATATGAATGTTATCATAGTGTTTTAAGGTATGGGTCCCCACGTGAATATTATGGATGGTGGGTATCACGTCAAGGCTCAAAGATGAATTACTGGGGTGGAGCGGCAGTCAACAGTGGAAAATGTGCCTGTGGAATGACCAACAGCTGTGCAGGTGGAGGAAACTGTAATTGTGACAAGAATGACAAAACATGGCGTGAAGACAGTGGATACCTGACAGACAAGAACACACTGCCTGTTACTGAACTGAGATTTGGAGATAATTACTCAAGTTACGAAAAAGGATATCATACATTAGGAAAGCTGCGTTGTTGGAATTAAAACCTAACTTTCCAGGTGATCTCATGCACGCTTTTATTTTAACCGACAATCAGCGCTCAAAAGGATTGTCTAAATAGAAATCCATTTCTCAGTATTTAACCGTTTATATCTTTCGTAATTCTTTATGAAGCTTTTATGAAAATTTTGTGATTGTGTTCACTTATATGAGAACTATAGCTCTGACATTAATTTCAAACCGAAATAAAGTATTTCAAGAGATAGTTGTATGTTTTAATACAGAAATGGATTAATTTTTATTTGACAACTAGTTCCAGTCATTTCCCACGTTTTTAGATCACCTGGTTACCAGATATATCGAACAGTAATTTAGTAAAAAACATGTATACCTAATTGAGAATTCGTACTGCTGAGATAATCCTTTGACAAAAAAATAGATTTCCATATATACAGTATGAAGTCAGTGTGACTATGAGATTGGTAAGTTGTGTATAAATTTAAAAGACGAAGGTTTCTATAGTATAATTAGAGATTAGGGGGCGGTTGTATCATGCCCGTAGCTTAAACGGTGGATAAGTCAAATTTAAATAATACTCTTACATCTCTCTTAAATGAGTCAACTTGGATATTATGCATTGAATATGTAGTTGTAAACAGTGTCTTTGTATTAAGGTAAAAAACTTGTCTCGAGGAACACGTCTGTCTGCTATAGCCTTTTACCAAATTTTAAGTCAACTTGGATATTATGCAGGTAAAAAACATGTCTGAAGGAACACGTCCGTCTGCCCTTAATTGCCTTTTGCCAAATTTGAAAAAGAATTCCTTTCATAGTCGGCTTAATTTACTTTCAAAAAGAAACCCTCTTTTGTGCTTTGTTGATATGGCTGTTCCTGTTGTGAATCTTTATAGCAATATATGCGTGGATTGATCCTAATCAAATACAAATTAACCGGTGTGTCTGATCTAGATGGCCAGACATGGGTACAAATATGTGAATTATTTCCTCAAAGTATATAGAGCTTGTCTAACTTTGATTTTAATTTGGTTGCTTTTCCCACAACATATCTAATAACAGCTAAACCAGAAAAACTAGCTTGCCTCGCTAGTCACCATCGATAGCGTGTCAAGAAGCGGTGAATGTGAGAAAGATGGCGGATTTAATTAAAAAAAATTTAAACAAACGCAGACATATTTTTAAACAAAATATTTATAGCTCGATTACTAGTGAATTCTTTGCTGAAGGAAAGAGCTCGTCTGCTCGAGTCCTTTGTTATTGATTTTAATTAAATTAAAAGAACCCAGGTCGTTTTATCATTACGTGTCAAGACATAGCGAAAGAAAGGCTGAACTTATGTTGAACAAAAATCATGTTTTCCAAAATCTTGTGGAAAATCCTTATTTTTTCAGTTTGTTTAAGAGTTACAACTACTGGTTTCTCGGAGGGAAGCGAGGTGAGAGGAATCCTTAAAATTGGTTTATATTTTAGCCACTTGCAAAGTTTGAATTTGCACAAGAGATTGCTCAGCACCTAACATATTGGCTCATTTATCGGAAAGTCATGCACTTTTACTTCTTTTATTCCAGAATTTTAAGAATTGCAATCCAGGTAAACAAATCAGTCACAAAAACCAAGCAGGTCAAGTAAAGATATTGATTTGCGCCGGATTAAAAGACGGCGTCCCTGAATGGCAATACACTGATGGTAAGGAATTAATATTTTGACGTAAATATTTGTAAAAAATGTATTATATGGTTTTTGTTTTAAATTCTCTACATCTATGATCAATGAACCAAAAAGAAGAGATATCCTTAATAAAGATTTTAAAATACGAAAGTTCAAAACAATTCATTCATGAATAACTTGCTTGGAAGATGGGAAAATGAAGATGGAATATGGGTTGATTACTAAGAAGACAAACCTATGACTGATTTTGACTATTTATCTAGTTTAAAACAAATCAGTTGAACTTAGGCCGTTTCTATTCTTCGTAGTAACATGAATCGATAAATTTGAAAAAGGTGGGGGGAATTGGTTTAGAGCAGAATTATTAGGAAGATTCTTTTACGCCGACACTCGCTTCTCGGAGTAAATCTCTTAAAGCTACTTTTATGTTATGAGGTTCTTCAACATTGGGCGAAATATTCAACCCAGCAAAAGATTGTCCTGATATTGTTGATCATTTGCCTGGAGCAAAAGATGGATTTTACTGGATATCATTTGACAACGAAACTAAACACAAGGTAAATACGACAAACATTATTTATTAGCACTAACCATCTTCTCTTATGCACTACATCTTCACTGCATGTACCCGCCCCACTTCGTTACCTAAACTTTTCTTACTTCAACTGTCTTTTAAAGCCTTCTCAGTTTCAAAGTTTTCCTTAGTCATTTAGTCAGTTATTATACTCTGCGAGGCGACCTCTCGCCCAGGCTTGTCTAGTCCAGCCCATTCTTATATATGGTGTTGCTTTCCGCCAAATTTAAAAAAAAATGTTGACGAAGGCACTTCTCGAGTCAAGTGACACAACTGCATTGTGCCAGTCATCAAGACCCAAACTTACATAAAGTAGATAATAATTTTCTTTGTTTTTAACCTTATAAGGTTTGGTGTGATGTACATACAGATGAAGGGGGGTTTATGTTGGTTGGAATGAAGAACAGTCCTGTATCTTGGACAGTACCATCCAACTCTACTCCTGTTGATCCTAAAGGACCACCACATTGGTCAAGCAAATTTGGTGATTTACAAATACTAGATTTTGGAGTTCAAATTTCTTCTGATGATACATTTAAAGAAACCAGAGCGCATTGGTAAGGATATATTCCAATTTTCGAAGCTCTTTTGTTATCGAACACAAACCTCTTCTGTATTTTCTTTATTGATTGATTATTTGCCTATTACTGTAGGTTTTATCGTTTGAACCAAAAGCGTCAACTTGGGGATATTTTTTCAAACGACATATCAACTGGTTGTTCTACAAGCACTCCTGGAATTGGGGATATCAAATATGTCAAGGATGTCCAAAGCGGTTCCATCATTCATAATTTTAAATGTTCCATATTTGGACCTCACACTCACAACAGTTTGGGATGGGTAAATACCATTGCACTGTCTACAAAAATTTTACATGAAACCGATACGGAGAAATATATATCGAAGAAATTTCCTCCGGTTTTACTAAATGAAAGTAAGAAGAGAAACTAATGTCTGTATTAATATCGTTTAGGCAAGAATGAACTATTGTCTTCGTAATACTTGCAAGAAAGGATATGGTGTAATTCCTGGTCCTTTTTCATTTCAATATACTCAATATGGGTCGTTTAGGTAAGGTTTTAATGTAAGGCTAAGATAAAATAACGGCCAAATTATTAAAAGTATATCCTAATGTCATATATAACGTGGAACTGCAATAAGAACTTTGTATTTGTGACAAGGCTTGTCTATGCTGGCCCTGGATTCGGTAATAGTTCCTAGATATATAGTTTACAGCAAAGTAATTATATAGTTACAGCGCCGTGTCGGCTTCGACTGGTATGGGACGTAATTCCACAGCCTTCCTTGGATGCGATGGCGGAAAAGTGAGCAAAGAGACTATTTAAAATAATAAAGATGTTATTTGAAATACGAAAATAAGAAAGCACTCCAGTAACGCTATAATAGTCAGATGACTGAAAGCCGGTGCACACGTGTCAAAATTTTTTTCAGTGTCACATGATCAAAAACAACAAATTAAAAGAAAAAATTAATAATGTGTTAAAACTATACATCTTGGTCTAAATTACCTATCACGTGTTTTTTCAAGTGTTGCGGATGTTTTGGTCCTAAAGGTGGAAGACAAAACTATTGTGGTCCTGGATGTACTGAAATCAATGGAGGAACAGTGATGAAGAATGTTTTTGTTTGGTTTTGGGTGAGAAACAGAAAGCCAGAAAGACTTTGGAAAAAGTGCATGGAGTTTACCATGAAGAATTCAACAGGTGTATCTGAGAAATATTTTGTTGATCCGAGAACTGGTACTGCACATAAGGTGAGGATTTTGAAGCAACACCCCAACAATAAAAAAATAAATTAAATTCTTGGGTTAATTTGTTAAGGGTTCCTGTTCAGAGCAATTCAAGATATTTCTCAACGAGGGTGTAAGTATATATATATGGTAACTTTAAGGAGCAAAATGAAGAAACAGCAGACTGAGGGCTCATAACATTCACAACCATACTTCATGTAAATTGAGAGGAATGGTGGGAAGAACATTTATAGATGAGTACAGTCAAGAGTAAACCCGCAACTTAAATAATCAACACGAGTCCTCATAACATTTCATGTAGACATTGACTGTAGCTGACAAAAAAGGGTTTAAAAAGATCCCAAACGTTCCTGGTCTTCTCTCGTATCGTAAAGATAATCAACAACTTTATGTTAATAATGGATCAAAGTGGCAACCATTAGATAATGAAGGAGAGGTAATCAAGTTCGTTTATTGTATTTTATTAAATATTATGCAGGATTGTTATATAAATATGGAAATGCTCAGTATTCATTTTATTTTTCCAGGTTCGACAATTACAGCAGGAAGTTAAAAGTTTAGAAACACAACTCCAAACTCGGATAAAAAAGCTAGAAAAAGGTAATTTAGGAAGGTATTTATGTATCAAATTTAGACACGCCGCATGCATTTTTTCTTGTCATTTAATTAATCAACGAAATGCTTAGCTTTCTCGTTAAAGACAGCTTTTTAAAAAAAATTAACAACTTTTACCAGTGTGTAGATTGCGTCAAAGAGGGTGAATGGAATCAGTTTTTCGTATCATTTTGAAAAATTATTATTAAGCATGACTAGATGTTAAAGTTCAGGTCAAATCTGAGGTTCTGCTCATTCAGGATCGTTTAATGTAAAATTTTCCCAAATTTTGCATGTTTTGAATTTTCTGAACAAATCATAAACTCAAGTTCAATTAAAAGCGTAGCTATAACCTAAATAATGTTAGATATCAAGAAATGACGCCCCAATTTTAAAGGTTCGTTTACATATGAACTTGACTTACACTTTAAGCTCTAAACTGTAACAAAGCGTTGCATGTTTCACAGACATTTTAAAGTTACCTAAAATTTACCCGACTCTATTCAACCTTACGAACAACGGTTCTATAGACGACGGTAGAAATTTTATAAATCCCACGTAAAATTGTCAACTCCTGTATTCTGTAATATGGCTTCACTTAATGATGTTATTGTCAAAATTTTGAAAATACTGAATGTATAGCTACTATCAATTTTTTTATCAATTCAACGAGTTCCATATTATTGAAAACATAAAACGAGAAACCCGCGTTATCTGTCAGTTGTTATTGTAGCACTGTCAGCAAATTTCGTCTTACGTCTTACATTTGTTAACTATTTCTAGATATAATGCACGAGTCACCTGAGCCGCTGAAGACTACTGCGTTTTTCGTACCCTTGCCCTGGCACAAAAACTTATTTTATAGGTTATATAAACCTAAATACTAAACGAATTACTAAACCTAAAAGAACATGCACTGAATATGAATAAACTACTACAATAAACTACTACGACACTAACATTCAAATCGCTTCAAATCAACATGAAACTTCAGTAACATGGTATCTTTCGTGCCACAGGTTTACAAATTTATCCTTCTTGTTCAATATTACGACAAACGAGGCCGACAGCCGATAGTGGAAAGTATTTGGTGAATCCCATTCCAGGACTTTTAGTTTCAGTATTTTGTGACATGACTTCAAAGAATGGTGTTGGTGTGACAGAGATTGGACACGACAGTGAATCGAGAACACTTGTGAGTGGATGTAATCTTGCAGGTTGTTACAAGAGAAAGATTAAATATGGAATTTTCATGGAGCAGATTGTTGCCATTATGAAGAAGTCCACGAATTGTGAGCAGTTTATAAAATATGAATGTTATGACAGCGTTTTTAGGTTTAGCTCCACAGGTGAATATTATGGTTGGTGGGTATCACGTCAAGGTTCAAAAATGAATTACTGGGGTGGAGCGGCAGTCGACAGTGGAAAATGTGCCTGTGGAATGACCAACAACTGTGCAGGTGGACGGAAATGTAATTGTGACAAGAATGATGCAACATGGCGCGAAGACAGTGGATACCTGACAGACAAGAACACGCTTCCTGTTACTGAACTGAGATTTGGAGATGCTGGCGATGTATTCAGCAATGGAGAAAGAGAGCGTGGTTATCATACACTGGGAAAATTACGTTGCTGGGGTTAAGAAATGGAGCATCAAACCTGATGTTATTCATATAATCTTTGTGATCAACAAAAATTTAAAAAAAGCTTCACCATGACTGTTAAGATTTTATAATTTTTAATATTACGTCAACTTCAGGTTGCTAAAGTCGAATTTTTATAATCAATTTTAAATAATGCCTATTTTATCTTATTTTGGAACCATTCAGCGCATATACATTAAGCACTCCTGGCTCGTATCTTACTTTTGAAGTACAAAACCATGACCAAGTAATCTAAATGGAGTTAGCAGACGACATAGCCCCTTTTAAACCTTGCTCGTGAAAAGTTCAGCGTGTGAACTAGGTCGAAAATAGTTTATATACAATATGGAGATAAAAATAGCACAATACGAAAAACAATGATCCTGCAGATTTTACGAGAGAAATGCAATTGTTCACGAATTAAAATATTTATCAACATAAAGAAATCATAATTGGAAAAAAATTAGCGTGCATCATTTCAGCCTAAACGACATTTCGCTTTTTTAATTGCATTTTACACTCAATTCATCTCAGCAGAGAGCGTTGATTTATCTTCTCATAGTCTCATCCTCAAATTGATAAAAATCGCCTTGTTTTTCTATTCTCGTATCCTTAATTAAAACCAGGGTATTTCGAGGCTCATTGCGGTGGAGAAAGTAAAAATATTAACCCTCAATTCTGGTTTTCTTTTACTTTCAAAATAGGTTTGTTTAAGTTGTGTGTGTTTGTGTAGCAGGATGTCAGTCAGGCAGATCTACCACCCGCCTATATAAGTTCTACTGATACTATATAATTAATAATTAATATTTTATAATTTGGGAAAATTATAAGATAACTATATCTGTCCTAGGACATATTAATAAGCGGTTAAACTACAGTTAATAAAAGAACTAATCAAAACCGTGCATTTCTGAGTAAACTAAGATTCAACAACACAAAATGTATAGTTAAGAGTTTTATAGAACTGGCTGCAGAAAATTTCAAGCCACGAAACTAAATAATCCTCCGTAATCATTAGTATTTCGGGATAGGAATAAAAACACATTAGGTTTTTAAGTTTATAAGCTGAGCGTTTAGGGCAACGACAAATAGCAGAGTCGATCTTTCTTGCAAAATGGCTCAATTTCTTCTCTTTTGAAGTGAGAAAGATGGAATCAGCTGCTGTTTCTCGTTGCCCTCAAACGTAAAGCTTATAAATTTAATATCTCAAAAATAATTCAAAAAGGCCACATTTAGTTTGTTCGCAGCTCTGAGCCTGACAGGGACAAGACTTTCGATTTCGATTACGTCGTAACGTTTTATTAAAAACCTTTAGCATGCATTTCTTCACTAGCGGTCATGTAATAAGAGGTGTATCAATTACACAAGCCAGTCACATAGCTATAGAGTGGCGATATCAACATTAGCCATCTGCGGAAATTTACTTCGGAAAACAGGTCAGTTATGTAATATAGATATCACAGGTATATTTGCTGGGTGACTACGATCTGAGATCTCATTAGGTATTAGCTATAAGCCACGCGTTTTATTGTAATGTGTTCCTCCCCGCGTATTTTCTAAAGTATTTGAACTGTATTAAATGTCGTAAGCGTGTGTAGGCAAGACTGTTGTATCAAACAGCGACAAAGCAGGTTATCTCTGCATCATAGTAGTGCATGCACACGGTCGAGAGGGAATTAACTACATTAAAGAATAGAATATCACTTGTGAACAAGTGATCCTTACAGAAGTGAGTTTCTGATCAAATATGCACAAAGAAATTCAACCTAAGCCATATCAATTGTTGACGGATGTGTTATACGAAGTATGATCCCATATATTCATTGAAATAAAAGAACTAAAGTATTAAAGATTATATAGTAGTAAATATCCCACAGAAATATCAACGATAATGTTTCAAAATATTATCATTGTCTGTTCACAATGTTTACACTATTGCGATATAAACATGCCCTACATGCAGAGCACTGTCATGTTTTTCATAAAACGACATACGATATTCATGTGGAGTGAACCTTTCAAGTCGAATAACGCAAATTCTTTTTACACGAAGATTACTACATGCAATATCTCGTGTGATTTTATAACCAGTAACCAGTTCGAGTTGTAACGGCCAAAGCTGACAATCTGTCCCCTCGCACCTTGTAAACCATAATTATCGACACAGGCGAGATACGTTCACAATACAGACAAACCGGAAATTTATACTCTCTTAAGTATCTCATAATAAACAACCACAGACGCTGTATAAAATATTTCGACGAGATTGTTTACTACACAGTCGGTTACATACAGACAGTTTTCTTCGGGGCAGACCATCTGGTTAACGGTTATTTGCGCACAATTTCTTCCAAAACACAAATGCAATATACTATAATCATGCCAAGATCGTGTTTTTACATTATTTAGATTTCAGTACTCTGAACGTTTGTCCTAATCAATATGGATTAGATACTGGATTTTAAAGAATTAATAATACGTTTCTCTGAAAAGTCATTAGGTGGTTTTATGAAAAGTTTATAGAAGATTTGTTACCACAAACTGCCCATAGTGACAAGTTTCACAAAATCTTTGTTTGAAGAAAAGTTATCTAGTCCAATGACCTTGGCCTTCAAAATAGTAGAACTAGGTTTGCTTTATCGTTAGATCCGGGAAAGGAATCAAACGAATGAAAAATGGTTTCAAACGTACTGTGGAAAATACTGATTGTTTCCTCTTGTATGATTATGATGACTTCAGCTTTGCCAGAAAGTTACCAGGTAAAGTTAATGTTCTATAGATTAACCCTAAAATCTCTGTGAGAAGGGTCAATATAGTAGATATATGGATGAGAAGGGATTGAGAAGGATGAGAAGGGTCATTATACTAGATATATGGATGAGAAGGGATTGAGAAGGATGGGAAGGGCCAACTGTACTAGATATAAAAGCTTAGTATCCAAGCAAGTTTAAGTTTCATGCGGATAGTTCGTAGCTACGAAAAATAATTGTAAATCCTCGTTTTGTTAAGAAATTAAATATTTTAAAGAATAATGCTATTTCAGAATTTCAGCAAATGTTACCCTGGGAAACGAATCAGTCATAAAAACATTGCTGGGCAAATTAAGATGTTGATTTGCACAGGAGAAAAAGACGGTGTCCTAGACTGGCAATACACTGACGGTAAGTAACTTCTACAGGATTAAGACTTCCCAGTTTCTCAAGCTTAGTTCTAGCCTGCGCAAGAGAGAATGACTTGAACAGTCTACAAAAAAACCTTAGAGAGAACAGTTTTTTACGTGTTCTTGAAAATTCCGAAAATTTCATTAAAAACATGCTGATAGGTTCTTCAACATTGGGCGAGGAGTTCAACCCAGCCAAAGATTGTCCTGAAATTGTTGATCATTTGCCTGAAGCTAAGGATGGATTTTATTGGATTTCCTTCGACAAGAAAACTAAACATAAGGTTTGGTACAACATAACCCATGCTAAATTACGTCTATCAAACCCTTCTCTCTTTTAAAGCCCCCGTTTTCATTTTGCCTCTCAGTCTATTAACAAGCTATGTATTTCGGTATACACCTTCACCTGATATAAAGCCCCCCTCTCTACCTGACTATTTCACTGCCAAGATCCCTTCCACTCGCTTTACGCTTAATTTGCATAATGTATCAACCTAAGGAAAAACCAAGCACCACCATAACGACTGTATTTATGATACAGAATACTAACATTCTCGGTTGCAGCTTTGGTGTGATGTAAATACAGACGGTGGGGGGTTTACCTTAGTTGGAATGACGGACAGTCCTGTAACCTGGACAATACCATCCAACTCTACCCCTGTTGATCCTAAAGGACCATCTCATTGGTCTAGCGAACTTGGTGACATCCAAATACTCGATTTCAGAGTTCAGATTTCTTCTGACAATACTTTTGAAGGGACCAAAGCGCATTGGTAAAAATGTAAATTGTACATAAATGACCACTGCTTATGCCTTAAGTTTATTGGTAGTCATATTCCAAACCCTGCAGTATTTGTTTACTGATTCACTCTATTACTGTAGGTTTTATCGCTTAAACCAGAAGCGTCAACTTGGGAACATTCTCATAAACGACGTTTCAACTGGTTGTTCCATGAATAATCCTGGAATTGGGGATATCAAATATGTCAAGGACGTCCAAAGTGGTTCTATCATTACGACTAATTTTAAATGTTCCATATTTGGACCTCACACTCACAGTAACTTAAGATGGGTGAATGTCAATTTCTCATAATATTTTCTTACACACGGTGCTTGACCTTGCATGAATTTATTGTTCCATTTATAGCAGTTTTTCATTGTTAAATGTTATTGTTAAAGTTTTAACCGTTAAACAAATCAAGCATCGCTACTTCTTGAGGCACCCGGTACATATAAATATACATCAGTGCTTAAACTATTTTACAGGGAAGAATGAACAATTGTCTTCGTAATACTTGCGAGAATGGTTATGGTGTGATTCCCGGGTTTTTGTTTGAATATACCGAATTTGGTTCATTCAGGTGAGATGCACTCCAAATGTTAAAATTTAGTAAAACGTCGAATCACAAGAATATTCAAGTATTACTTAATGTGTATAGCTATATTGTGGTAACAGCATAGTTTGTTTATAGTTACAGCGCTGTGTCGACTTCAACTGGCATGGGACGTAATTTCACAGCCTTTCTTGGATGCGATAATGGGAAAGTATGCAGCTAACTCTCCAGTAAAGCTATATAGGCCAGGAGACTGAAAACAATTTATATATGTTATTATAACAAACTTTCCTGTACGTTTTGTAGTGTTGCGGATGTTTTGGTCCTAAAGGTGGAAGACAAAACTACTGTGGTCCTGGATGTACTGCAATTAATGGTGGAACGGTAATGAAGAATGTTTTTGTTTGGTTTTGGGTGAGAAACAGAATGCCAGAAAGACTTTGGAAAAGATGTATGGAGTTCAAAATGAAGAACTCCGTTGACACATTTGAGAAATATTTTATTGATCCGAGAACTGGTACCGCACACAAGGTGAGGGTTTGGTGACAGCGCTCAAAAGGACTGTCTAAATCAGGGCGCTTATTTATTTATTTATTTATTTATAAACTTGGTCGCAAGCGACAGGCAACCCCACAGAGTACTTACTCCAATTATGGTATGCCTTATAAATTACAAACATAGTTATTACAGTACTACATAACTCATAGGCAAGAAATTGAGTAGAATACAGACGATACAAGTAACTACAACAATTATTAAAATTAAACTATACAAATAGTGACTTAACAACACAGTTTAACACTAAGACTTAATAATGAACGACACAGATGACATTTAATACATACTGTTTTAAAAGTTTGAGGAGTGTCTACGTCATATATATGTTCGGTTAGGTGCCTATAATGTGACAGAAGTCCAGTTTTGAATTGGTGAACAGATAGTTGGGAGTTACGAAGGTGGGTTGGTAGAGAGTTGAATATTCTTGGAGTTCTGCAGTGGTAGCTGTTTTGGAATGTTATATATAAGCGCCCTGGTCTAAATAGAAATCCATTTCTCAGTATTTAACCGTTTATATTTTTCGTAATTCTTTATGAAGCTTGTCAAAATTT